GCTGCAGGAATTAGAAGCCAGAAACTTCCCAGGCCTCCCTGTAGTTAGGATTCCGGACGAGATCAGGGTTTGCTAATCAGCTACATTGCCATAATACTTAAATTCAGAACTGAATTTAGTAAAAGACATGAGGCATCATTTTGCTAGTGAAAATAATGGTGGAGGCTGGGCATGGTGGCATCCCGGTGCTTAGGAGGCTGAAGCAGAAGGATCACTTGGGGCCAGAGTTTCAGACCAGCCTAGGCAACAACGTGAGCCCCGATCTCTACAGAAATTTTTAAAAATTAGGTAGGAGTGCGCTGGGCACTGTGGCTCACGCCTGTAATCCTAGTGCTCTGGGAGGTCAAAGCGGGCAGATCGCTCAAGGTCGGCAGTTCGAAACCAGCCTGAGCAAGAGTGAGACCCCATCTCTACTAAAAATAGAAAGAAATTAGTTGGCAAACTAAAAACATATAGAAAAACTTAGCTGGGCATGGTAGCACATGCCTGTAGTCCCAGCTACTAAGGAGGCAGAGGCAGAAGGATTGCTTGAGCCCAGGAGTTTGAAGTTGCTGTGAGCTAGGCTGACGCCATGGCACTCTAGCCTGAGCAACAGAGTGAGACTCTTGTCTCAAAAAAAAAAAAAAAAAAAAATTGCTAGGATGGTGGCTGACCTGTCAGATTCCAGTCCTCGGAAGTTGAGGTGGGAGTTCAAGGGAGTTCACTTGAGCCCAGGAGTTCAAGGTTACAGTAAGCTATTATTGTATCACTGCACTCTAGCCTCAGTGACAGAGTGAGACCCTGTCTCTAAAAGAAAAAAAAGAAAGAAAGAAAATAATGGCAGAGACAGCACAGATCTTTTAGTCAGTAGATCCTGATTTGGTAGCAGTTTTCCCAGGTGTCTCATTTATTACTGCATAAGGAGCCAGCCTAAAACTTACTGGCTTAAAACCATAATTTATTATTTCCCATGATTTTGTAGGTTAGTTGCCCTCAGCTGGGTCACTCAGGCAGCCAGTCATCTGACTGACTAGAGCTAAAGAGTAAAAGATGGCCTCACTCACTGGAGCCTTAGTGCCAGTCTCTCAGTATTCAGTAGTCTACCAAAAGCTTCTACTATGGCAGAGGGAGTGTTCCAAGAGGCAAAAGCTGCAAGGCTTTTTGAAACCCAGACTCTAGACCTCACACATTACTTCTGTCACATGCTACTGGTCAAAGCAAGTCACAAGCCAACCTAGCTTAAAGGAATAGAGAAATCAACTCCAACTCTGATGAGAGGAGCTGCAAAATATCGCAGCCATGCTTTTTAATCTACCACACCAGTTGTGGTACAGGCAGTTATGATTCTGAAAGCTTAGTCTACAGCAGTAATTCTCAATCCTAGCTATACAACAGAATTGCCCAATGAGCTCTTAAAAATACCGTACCAAGGCTCCACCTCACATCAATTAAATTAGAATCTCCAGGAGTGGAACCAAGGCCTCCATATTTTTAAGAATTCCTCAAGTGATTTTCATGTGCGGCCAGGGTTGAAATCTACCACAGGTTTGGGGAAAACTTTAGTCTACATACAGATCACCTGGAGATCTCATTAAAATCAGATTCTAATTTAACAGGCCTGGGGCAGGATAAGTCTGAGATTCTGCATTTCTAAATAAGCTTCTAAATTAGGGGTTGGCAAACTATGGCCTGCAGGGTGCATTTGACCCTCCAGTGAAGAATGGTTTTTACATTTTTAAAGAGTTGTTAAAAAGAAGGCCATATTTTCTGTCTGGCCTTTTACAAAATAAGTTTGCCAAACTCCTGTCCTAGATGAGCCCAAACAGCTGGTTCATGAACCACTTTGAATAGCAAGAAGCTAGAACCTGAATTCCAACTCTTCCAACAACACTTCTACTTAAATTAGAATGGTTTGTTAGCTACAGATTTATCCTAACTAGGTAACATAACAAGGAATTCCAATACAAACGTTTCACTAGGGCTAACTCCCAGTACCCATCCCCTCTCCCCTTCTACAAACTGTATCCTGGAATTTCCAGCCATTCGGTTTGGGGAGGCACATCAAGCTCATGACTGACTTAAGCCACTAGAAACCAGTCCCACCTCTAGACTTGTCAATTGCATAAACCAATAAATTTCCTAATTGCTTATGTCACAGTTGGGTTTTCTTTGACAAAAGGATGCTTTCAGATGTAATAAGTACATTCATTACATATTACATCACAAGGTACACTATCTTTAGGGAGTTTTTGTGTTAAATTCCTTAAAATGCCTAGCAAACCAGGAAAAGCATAAATGTCTCTAATTGTAAATGTTTCCGATCTTATTCACAGAGTTAGGTTATTTAGCTCTACCCATTCAGATAGGTATATAAGATGAAAAAATAAATTACTTACCTGAAATAAATTAGGAAAATAAAGTGAAGCAGCACAATAAAATGGATAGGAATGAGGGAAGAGGGTCCCAGACAGGCCTGACCTTTCGCTCTGCTGCTTTGGTCCTTCTGCCAATAATTAGTGATTTGTGGAAGCAATCTACTGTGCTTCAAGTGGGAAGATCTCATGAATACTTGAGCTGCCACTAGCCACATAGCTATTGTTTAGTTTAATATGATCCTATAACTTGAAAAAAAGTCATGTCCATATATCTGCTGGCTTAATGGTAAGGTAATACAGTCTCATGGATTGTTTTTAAGAAGGTGAGAAGATAATGCACCTTAAGTATACAAACAGGTTAGCACTAATATCTATATTACTAAAGATCTATATGAACAAATTGAGGAGAAATGGCCTAATGTTCAATGGAGGTAACTCTAAGCACAATTGATTAGATTCATTCCACTTAAAACAAAATAGATATATTTGGCAGAGGTAGGGAGACCTTATATGAACTCTTGCACACCAAAATCATTTTCTTGAAACCCATCTTAATAGATGGTGAGTTAAACAGGGGAAATAATACACCTGATTTACTAATTTTAAGTATCTTACCTAAATATATCTTAAGACTATCACCTCAATGTATAAGTTTTAGGCTCTGTGTTAAGTGCTAAAATCAACTATTTTCTTCTCTTGGATAGTTTCACACAATTGACAAATAACGCAGGTTTCTACTTTCAAACCTAAACCACGTTTTACAGAAGTGCTGCCAGAAGCTTGATAAAAAAGTTTCTGAAGAGCCTAAATGAGATTTTTTTTGCTTTTTCTGTAAAAGGCCAGATAGGAGATATTTTAGTCTTTGTGGACTACTAAAATCCACCACATATTTTTTTGTTTTACACCCTTTAAAAATTTAAACTATTCTTGGCTTGTGGGTTCCTGTGGACCCCTGTATCACCACTTATAGTGCTTGTATAATACAAATTCCTGGCCCCACTTCAGGCCTATTGCATGGATCGAGTCCTTCCTCTGCCACAGGAAGTCAAAACAGATCTAATAAAGGTTATATACAAGGTAACTCAAGCTCCCCATTAACTTGAAGTGTTTGTTTCCAGAGGCATCGGAAGCAAATGCTCTATTTCAGGCTTATCTACATAATGCATAGTTTTCTATGTAAGCACAAAAATGTCATTTTCAAACTTTCCATATAAATGGTAAGCTTTTGGAAAATGAGATACTAATCTTCTTGTTCATTTGTTTCAAATGGTCTTCATGCCCAATTCCTATTGGAGGCTCCTCATTAATCAAGTTAGTTTTCTTCTGCTTCCCCTTCCTAAAACCAGTACAGTGATGTGTACACAAATCTTAAATATTTAACACACTTATTGCTTCCTAAACATACAGTATTAATCTTTTCTTCCCCCTTAAGCTATGCAATCTCAAATGGGATTTGGAGTAAACAATGGAATCAGGACCACTGAACTCCATCACTACTTCCACCTGACTTCCTCATTCTCTATTCCCCACCCACTCTAAGATTATAAGATTAGCCCCTACTGCTCCATATTACAGTATATTGTTAAGATACAATATATGCAAGTTTTTCACAAATCCTTGATAAAATTCATTTGGAATGCTTGTAAGAAATAGATTCTTCCACTCTTCTCCTGATTCTGATTTGGTAACACTGGGTGGGCAGGGGGGAGGCCTGGGAAATAGGATGTTTTTACAACCACTCCAGATGATGTTTAAGAATAGGCAAAAGCTCCACCATACTGGAGCCTCACTTACTTACCTATGGCTAGCCCATGTGTTTATAAACACTTCATGTTCCTTGCTACCATCAATTAGGTGGATCTGTGGAACCCATCTAACTAAGTCGGAAATTAAGAGGGTTGAAACTTTGCATGAAAGATGAGGGACAAATTTCAAAGCCAACTATAAATCAGATTCTTGGACAGTTAAGGAGTTTCTATTCTTTCTCAACTCAAAATTGAATTATTCGAATGCAAAAATCAGCAAATACTGATAGACCATAATCTTCACACAGCTTCTACTCGGGTAGGCTTGGCAGTTTTCTTCCCAGATCATCTGGGAGTTAAATACTCCATTGTCTCATTTCTTCAACAGAAAAGCCTCTCCTACCTCTCTGCAAGAGGCAAAGAGACATCCTTTGACTTCGTCTTCCCTTAACTCCCTGGACGCTAAATGAGATAATTGGTTGCAATGGAACATAGGGTTTATGATTAAATTGAGAGAGAATAAGAACCATAGCTCTGCCATTCTACCAGCTATACTACCGCTTTACTTAAAAAAGGAGGTCAATCGTTTCCTCTCAGGATTAGGAAATGTGGCACGCAATTAAGCCGGCAGCGGTTCCCCTTCCCGTCACGTCCCTTTAGATGGCAAGAAGAAAGTGCGGGCTCACGGAGGGCCGGGCCAGGGCCGGTCACTGCAGCCCAGCCCGGGGCAGGGAGGCAAGAAGCGAGGGCTGGACGCAGGCGACAGGAGTGAGAAGGAACAGCTAAGGAGAATGGAGTGAACTGGCGGCAGCAGAAGAGGCCTGGACAGTCTCCGCCCCTGAGGATGCGAGGCTGGAACTCAGGGATAGAGAGGTGAGAAGCCCAGAGCGGCGGCCATTACCTGCGTCCGAACAGCCGTGGCGGGGCTAGGGCCACAGTGACCTCCTCGCCGCTGCGGCCGCTCACCAGTGGAGCCCACGCCTGGCCACAACCCCAGCCTCTCTGCGCCCAGCCTCGCCACGCCATCTTCCAACCTCTGCCCCACCATGGCCCGACCTTACCAACCCCAGCCGCCAAACCACTTCCGGGGCGAAGGAAGAACCATAGAGCGCCAAGGAGCAGCCTAGAGCGCCCCCGCCCGGCTGAGCGGCGGCCGAACCAGCCCAAGGTGAGGAGACCTCTGTACACCTCTCCTTCCACTGTTAATCCTGCACCTAGGAGCGGCCTGGGACAGCAGCCTGGCCTCCTCCCCGTTTGCAGATGAGGTAGATGAGGCCCAGAGGAAAAAAGAACGAAGACTATTATTTTTGATGCCGTGTCCCAGGCACTTTACGTACATTATGGGGTTTGGTCCTCAGAACACCACTTGAGGTGGATATTTTTATCACTGTGTCACAGTACCTCAGAGGCTGAGAGAGGTGAAATGACTTGCCCAGAGTTACAGAACTGGTCCTAGAGGAGCCAACATTGCAAGCCAGGTTTTCTTGAATTACTACTCTTGCTTCTGCGTGTCACCATTTCATGTTATTTCTGTTATGACACACATCAGAGGATGTGCCTTGTGTCTTTGTCAAAAAAGTTCAAACCTGAAATGAAAATGGGGATTTCTGAATAAAATTCAGATTTCTTCATGATTCAGCCCTTGCCTTCCTGTCAGCTTTATTTCCTGCCACCGCATCCCTCCGACCTTCTCTGCAGCCATACTGAGTCATTGGCTGTTTCTCAATGGCACTATCCTAGTTTCCCCTTCGGTGCATTTGTACCATCATTCTCACTGCCTGAAACACCTCTCCCTTTTCTCCCTTCTCAACCTACCTAACCAACTCGTCCTACACATCAACCTCAAATGTCACCTCTCCTAGGAGGCCTTTCCCAGACCTCTACTCTGATTTACATGCCCTTCCTTTGTACTTTTATACTGTTTTATGCATATCTCTACAATAGAACATTCTATGAATACTTATTAAGCACCTACAGTATGCCAGGCGATGTAGTAAATCTGGAGATATAATTTAGAAGACACTATCTCTGACCTCACAAAGATCCTACTGAATAGGGTAAGAAAAGAGCAAGTAAATAAACAGGCAATTACAACACATTGTGAAAAATGCTATGATCAGAGAAGCCTAAAGCTCTGTGGGAATTCAGAGGAGGGGGATATAACCCAATGGAGGGATAGGGGATGGGAGGCTGGGGGATAAAGCTTCCCAGAGAAAGCGATCGAAATCACCAAGAGAAGAGAAGGACTGAAATATTCTAGGCAAAGAGAATAGCATTTGTGATGTCACCCAGGGCATGACTTGTTTGAGAAACTAAAATAAATTCACTTTGGCTGTATCATAGGTTCAAGTCTGGGATTTTACTCTATTTGTAACTTAAAAGATTGGATGTTGGCAAAAGCCAGGACACTGGTTGATCAGATAAAAAAAAAGACTTTATTATCACAGCACAGCAAGCATCAAGAGCATCATGTTTGCATGGGTTCCCCTTGTTCTTCAAGTCCCATCCTGGCAATACCATGAGCCTGATAGATGCCAAACATAAATTGGATTTGCATCTCAACTGAAGAACACTGAGTTTGGAGAATATACTCTTTTATAGTACATTTTTACAGTAAACAAACAACTTGGAAGGTAGAGATAATGTTTTCTTCCAAAGCAAAGGGCAGTTTGCTTATAGCCTTTGGAAGAAAGATAATATCACCCTATAGAGCACAGGCAGCTGCTCATTGTAAAAGATTCTGGTTCCTAAGCTCAGCATTCCCCTCCTATAATACAACCCATTGAGTGTGCAGGTATCATTCTAGCCCTCTTCCCATTGCTCCATGGGAATTGGGACCCAGCGTACCAGCACAAAAATTCTATTAGATTATTAAGTATGAAATGTCTAATTTCCTTAAGTAGTTTGACAGCTGAAAGCTCTGACATTTCATTTTGACACTTCTTGTTTTATTTTTATTGTGAAGGCACATCCTCATTCTTTTTTTTTTTTTTTTTTTTTTTGAGACAGTGTCTCACTTTGTTGCCCAGGCTAGAGTGAGTGCCATGGCGTCAGCCTAGCTCACAGCAACCTCAAACTCCTGGGCTCAAGTGATCCTTCTGCCTCAGCCTCCCAAGTAGCTGGTACTATAGGCATGCACCACCATGCCTGGCTAATGTTTTCTATATATATTAGTTGGCCAATTAATTTCTTTCTATTTATAGTAGAGACATGGTCTCGCTCTTGCTCAGGCTGGTTTTGAACTCCTGACCTTGAGCAATCTGCCCGCCTCGGCCTCCCAGAGAGCTAGGATTACAGGCGTGAGCCACCACGCCTGGCCACATCCTCATTCTTTCAAATGCAAGGCTTTTGGCTTGTGATTATCTTTCAAATTTTTTTAGAGCAATTATTGTGAAGCCATGGATAAGTCAAAAGTTCAAGTTATTTTTGAATATGAGTTTCATTGTGGAACTAATGTTGTGCAGGCAGCTCAAAATATCAATGAAGTGTTTGGGAAGGCTGTGGCTAATGAATGCATGATACATAGACGGTTTGAGAAGTTCCGTTCTGGTGATTTTAATCTTGAAAATAAGCCATGTGGGCGACCTGAGACCAACCTGGATAATGACGAGCTGAAAGCTGTAGTGGAAACAAATCCATTTCAACCTACACATGAACTAGCAGCAAGGTTTGACATTACTATTGTAACAGTATTGGACCATTTGAAACAAATGAGCAAGGTAAAGATGCTGAATAGATGGCTACCATATGGATTAAATGAGTGTCAGAAGAGAAATCGTCTTGAAGCTCGTCTTTCTTTGTTGTCACAACTTAAAGGCAAACCATTTCTATACCATATTGTTTATGTGTGATGAAAAATGGATTATTTTTTACAATCACAAGCACAATGGCTGGATAAAGATGAAGTGCCAAAACACGTCTAAAACTGATATTCATCCAAAAAAGCTAATGGTGTCTGTTAGTCCAGCACTGGTTTTATCCACTACAGCTTCATGAAACCTGGTCAATCGATTACGGCAGAGGTCTACTGCAACCAATTGGATGATGTGACAAGGATGCTTGTGATTCAGCAACCAAGATTGGTCAATAGAGATAGGCCAATCCTCTTGCAAAACAACACTTAACCACGTGTCACACAAACAACACTGCTCAAACTACAAAGGCTGGACTCGGAAACTCTCTGTCATCCACCGTATTCCCCAGACCTTGCACCAACTGACTACCTCTTCTTCCAGGCTTTGGACCACTTCTTGCAAGGAAAAATATTCAATTCTCAACAAGTTGTAGAAAACACCATTTGCAATTTCATTGCCACTCGATCTCCAGGCTTCTTTGCTGCTGGAATAAACAAGCTACTGTTAAGATGAGAAAACTGTGTTGACAGTTTAGGTACATACTTTGATTAATTGTACTACTTCTTGTTTAAGGTATAATAAACTAAACTTTTTATTTGAAATAAGACATTTCATATTTAATGACCTAATAATAGTTTGGCTGATGCTATTGCTATGAGTAATAAATTGCCCTTCATTGCTGACCCAGGAGTCTTATGTTTTCCTTCAGCACCCATAAAGCTATGTCAGGCTAACTTGTTAGTTTGCAAGTAGGGTTAAAAGAGTAGACTCTTTACAGTTCTTGACAGGGATCTGTGAATTTGCAGTTTCAGAGGGTGAACTTCTCTAGGTGTTGCCAAGAACTTGGGTATGGCCATAGGACTGATAGCTGAAGAAGAATGAAGCTGGAAGTCACCAAAGATGAAGCCCAGAAACTGAGCATCTTGGATATTGACTGAGTTGCTCACATGAACTTGCTCACATCACCAGGATGATGGCAGGACTTGGAATGGAATCCTAAGACTCCGGGGAAGGAGAGGAGGAGGTGACCAAATATTATTAATGGTACTGAACAGGTGCTAGACATAAGGGAAAGAGTCTCCACAGAGGAGAAATATGTGCTCAAGGTGGTCTTTGTACACATAATCTGGAGGAACCATTAGGGCATGAGGAGGATGTAGTCTACCTCCAGAACCCATAGGATCTGAGACTGGGACATGCTGAATGTCCTCTGCTTGATCACTTCCCCAGATCACTCTTGAGTGCTGCTCTAGGCCCCTGGAGGCTGACCTTTATGGACCACATCAATGGGCTCCCTTTCCCTCTGGCTTCCAGCTGGGCTCAGCCAATTATAGTCCCCAACAGGAGATTGGAGCATGGGAGGAAAATGAGTTTAGAGCACTTATTCTTCCCATTCCCTTCCTCCTTGAGCCACATGCATTGGCTTCTGTGTTCTCTGTTGTTAAACTCTCATTGCTTAATTTGAGTGAGTGAGGGTGCTATTTATGGTCAGAACCTGAACTGACACAGGAAAAACAAGCAGCCTCCATTCAGAGGCTGCAGGAGAAGCAGTGTCCTCAGTGTCCTCAGGGGTCAGTCAGCTGAGACAAAGAGTGGAAGGATCTATGAGGGTGTGCTGACCATGATCCCAGCAAAGGAATATTTATTATTATTACTGTTATTATTTGCCATTTATTGAGCACTTAGCGCTGTGCTAGGTATTTTGCATTCATTACCATATTTAACCTAATCTTAATATTAAACAAATTAGCATTATTATCTCTACTTTGCAGATGAGAGAACTGAGACTTATTGATATTCTGACCCTTTCGAACTCTTTGTCCCTGACTCTCATTCCTATAAATTCAGATGATTATATCTACCTTGTCACTTTGATGATTAAATGATTTCATATATGTCAGGTACCCAATTCACTCACTAACAAATGGTTGGCACTCAACACATGGTAGCTATCATCGTATCATTATGAAGTAATAATTAGAAACTGAAAGGGAAGCCTATCCATAAGAGAGAGCTCCTCCCACCATCATCATTTTATTTTAGGACCATAGAAAAGGTGCTGAGTGCTTATGGATGTTGTATGGGGGAAAGAGTTTCTCCACCAGCATATACAGAGCATTTATCATATGCCAGGCTCTGTGCTGAGCCTTGTCATTCCCAGCGGTCCTAAGGGAGAGCTCCATCGGACATACAAGGAAACTGAAGCTCACAAGAGTTGGGTTACTGAGAGCAAAGCTGGCATTTCAGCCAAGGTGAGGAGAAGCTTCCTGGAGAAGATGGCCTTTGAATGAAGTAGCATGCAGAGGGCCAGGCAGGATCAAAGATGGGAGGCCAGATGGTGGTGGGGGTGGGTGTCAGAAAATGCTGCAAGCTCCAGACAGAGGCTCTAACAGGGTAAGGACTGACAAAGGGTTAAGAAAGTGAGGCAAGTAGCAGTTGCATTACAGCCCAGCATAGTATTCTCTAATCCAGAGCCTGTCTCTCTAAACAGTTGCTGGCCTCAGGGGTAGGATCTCCTGGGCCCAAGAACTCCAGGCTTTCTGGCTGGGCGCAGTGGCTCATGTCTGTAATCCTAGCACTCTGGGATGATTGCTTGAGCTCAGGAGTTCAAGACCAGCCTGAGCAAGAGTGAGACCCCATCTCTACTAAAAATAGAAAAATTAGCCGGGCGTGGTGGCTCGTACCTGTAATCCTGCTACTTGGGAGGCTGAGGCAGGAGAATCACTTGAGCACAGGAGATTGAGGTTGCTGTGAGCTAGGCTGACACCCAACACTCCAGCCCAGATGACAGAGCAAGACTCTGACTCAAAACAAACAAACAAACAAAAAAAAAACAAAAACAAAAAAACCCCAGGCAATCTACTGCTCTCTGCAACCCAACTGGTCCAGTGGGTCCCAGTCTGGACTCCCCAGGTCCCATGGGAACACTTCCACATAGAAAATAGGATAGGGTGTCTATGAGAAAGATTCAAGATTTCAAAAAGCCTAGAAGAATTTGTATACATGCCTACAGAAAGGCTAGAGGCTAATGAATACATCACATTTTCTCATTTCTAGTGGAATCCTCCCAGCCCAGCACAGCAATAATGATTGATATCCTAATAATTAGAAACATTGGCTCATTCATATGTACATCTTTTGTTTTTTAATTTAATTTAATTTTTTTTAGAGACAGGGTATTGCCCAGCCATTGCCCAGGCTGGAGTGCAGTAGTGCAATCGTAGCTCACTATAACCTCAAATTTCAGGGCTCAAGTGATCCTCCCATCTGCCCCTTGAGCAGCTGGAATTATAGGCACAAGCCACTGCACCCAGCTTTTGTGCAGTTTATAAATAACACAAAGGAAAAAGGTAAGGCATTCCTCTTTTAAAACTCAGATTTATTGAGATATGATTTATATACAATAACACTCACCTTTTTAAGTATATAGTTGTATGAGTTTTGACAAACACATACAGTCTTGTAACTATCACCACAATCAAGAAGGAAAACATTTCCATTACTCCAGAAAGTTCCTTTATGTTCCTTTATAGCCAACCCAGAACCCTACTCCCAGACCCTGGCAACCACTTATCTGTTTTCTGTTTCCATGGTTTTGCCTTTCAGGAATATCATAGAAATGGAACAATGTAGTATGTGTTTCTGTGAAAATATATTTTCATTTCTTTTGGGTAACAATACCTAGGAGTTGGGTAACAATACTTAGGAGCAGAAGAGCTGGTTGTGTGATGTAATGTTTAATTTTACAAGAAACTGCCAAACTATTTTCCAGCATGATCATGCCATTTTGCATTCCCGCCAGCAGTTCATGAGAGTTCTAGTTGTTGCCCCATATCTTTTCCAGTACTTGGGATTGTCAGGGTTGCTTTTATAGCAATTCTAATAAATGTGTAGTGGTATCTCATTTTGATTTTAATTTGCGTTTCCTTAATACAAGTCATTTTTTTAAATAAACAAGACTTGTCTGGAGAGACAATGTTTCAAAACTTGGGAACCCTGTGGGCAAAGTAAAGGGAGTCCTTGGTGGAGAATTTGCTGGGAACAGTTTTATTATTGGCTGCTGGCTTTGCCTGGTGAAGACTGGGAGAGAGCCTTCCCCATCCTAGGACTGTAGGGACCTGCACTGCTTCCCTATGGTCAAGAGAGGGCAGGAGAGGGCAGAAAATAAGCTGCCTCCCACCTCCCCCTCTTTTGGGGGGGATACTTATCAGTCCCCAACATCCAGAGTACTTGCATGCATTATTATATTTATAGTTTTGCTTGAAAGTTTGCCTTTCCCTCTGAACCTACATAGCTGCTACCTTGTGAAACTTAATTCCCTAAATTAACATTGTGAACTGATTTAATGTCAAGATTAGCTAACCTTGTAATGTCCTTCCCCACCAATGCATAACTAACCTAACCTAAGAACTGAGCTACCCAAACTCAGCTACCTTCATAGAATCCTTGATAAGCCTACACTCCAGTGTCACCCCACAGAGCTTGTGTAAGGGGGAACCATGAGCAGCTGAGCTATGTGAACCCTTGTTTTTCCTCTTCTCTAGCTTTGCAGAAGCCAAGAGAGACTGAGAAAGGACTTCATGGGTTACAGGGCTCCAGATGCCCAGCTGGCTACAGGCACTCTGCCCGAGGACCTGGGCTGGGGCTGCCCAGGCGGGGCACTGCACAGATATCCTGGGGCTGGGGCTGCAGAGTGCCCCCAAAGATGTACTCCAGCTTGAGCCTTGGGCTCCCCTCTGGCAGTTGGAGCCGAAAGTTCCTGAGGAGGGTGGCAAACATCAGGAAGAGCTCCATTCGAGCCAACTGGTCCCCTGGGCACATCCGATGCCCTGGAAGCAGAAAGGTCAGAGGGCGGCAGCTGTCACTGTGTCTGTCCCTCGACACCCCCAACCACCACTCTGAATCCAGCACTGTGCCTAGTACCTGCAGAGAATGGCAGGAAGGCCTCATTGACCACAAAATTTCCATCCTTGTCCAGGAAGTGGCCAGGGTTGAACTGTCGAGGGGTCTCCCAGCACTCAGGGTCATAGAGCACCGACGCCAGGTTGGGCAAGATGATGGTGCCCTGAAGAGAGGAGCTGGTGTGGCTCAAGGAGCCTCAGATGGCCCTGACACTGGGCCCAGGTGAGCTCAAAGAACACCCAGTGTGCTTGTGGGAGTAGCCCAGGGGGCCATGGGAAGGGTCAGCAGGCAGGTGCCCTCAAGGTGCCCTTCCTCCAGGCTCACATCAGTGAAGGAACTGAGCATGACACCCTCCTGGCTATGGGCCACCCACCTTTGTTCTGAAGATTCTCAACTAGGTCTAGGGACACAGAGCCATTACCTCCTATGGAGAAGGCCAGCAGCTGTGGGCATGTCTAGAAGAGACCAAGTAAGGCACAGGGCAACAAACACTGGGATGAGGGGTTGTGTGTCAGAGGAAAAGACAGAAAGAAAGACAAGAAATGGGATGGCAAACAAAAAGAAAGGACTGAGTGATGGTAAGACAGAAGAAAAGGAGACAGAAAGCTGAACTCTTTAGGGTTGGAGAGAGGAAAACATGAACCCTAACCCCAACTCTAACCCTCACCCAAACCCTAACCCCAGCCCAGACCTTCACCCTTACCCTCACCCTAGTCCTCACTCTATCTCAAAGGAGAAGTGAGTGATTAGAAAAAGAATCAGACTGATGAGATGGGAACAGGGTAACTTCTGCTACTACTATGAGGGCCCTGGGCATACTGAGGCCAAGTGGAAGCAGCATACAGAGGCCAAAGTGGACCAAAATTGGGATTGTTTATGATCCCAGGATCCAGGACACTGAGCGCCAGGATTCTGGGGAGGGCCTCCTACTCCATGGCTCAGTTACCAAATACCATAGAATTAAACCAGCTACCCCTATAGGGAGAACAGTGACTATAGGATTCTTGGTCTTGACAGAGATAGCTTGAAATTTAAAAATAAAAACCTCAGAAGAGTTTGAAGCCTGCATCCCAAACAGAAACGAATAGAGAATGCAGAAATTGAATCAATGTAAATACTTTCAGAAGGCACTTTTTTGTAGTGGTTGCAGTCCTGTAAGCTTTACGGGAGGGGCCTAACCCTAGCTAACTGGAGCAATAGGGCACCCAGAACTGGTCACTCTGTGGCTTTAAGCAGAGGTGTTGGGGTGGCACATATTCTTGCTGCTGCCTGAGTGAGCTATACATTTCCCAATTCTAGTCCTAGCGATTTCCCCTTTTCTACCTGGGATTAAGTAACCCTCTGCATTCCAACACTTCTTAATCATCACCTTCAGAGAAAGAGGCTCCTAGCAAGGTGCTCTTTTCACTACAGAATTGTTTGTATACTGTTTTGCATGATGTTCTGGCCTCCTTGCACAGTGACAGACTGGTCTTAGCTCATGGAACAGGTTCAGAGCATAGCCTATCCAGCACACAAAAAGGGCGACCCTCCTGCTCCCCCTTATTGTAGAGCCATCTGCCTGCTGGGTGCCTTCTGGGGACTCTATACCATCTTCTCCCTAGTAGATGACAGTTTGGAGTTCACAATCAAATAGCATGTCAGAGAAGAGACAGGCGTGAAGTGTTGAAGCGCAACCATTGTATTAGAAACCATTGCTGTTGTCACTATCACTCAGCTGATGAAATGGTTAGGAACAGTTTAGAAATATCTGTAACATTTAATGATCTACTGTCAAGCTTTGATTCCACTTTCAGCATTCATCTCTCGCCCAAGTTGTAAAAGCTCAATATTGATTGCAGGTTATTAATAGTCCTCTGGAGCCTTTATCTAGAATCAAATTGGCAGGAAGGGCCTTTTAATAAGGAAATTTCTAATCCCAAATGGCATAAAACGGAGCTGAACTCTGGTCCTCCCTTCTTAACTGACCTAATTTGGCACAGCTTCTAGACAATCTGGGCCTAGGTCCTCCTGCCATGCCAGCTGCAAGATGAGCCAATGATGTGGTCCTATCCTCACATTCCCAGAGACATGTGACAAACCTATGAACTTGCTGGCCAACTCCTGCCAAAGACAGCTCAGTATCCACCAGTCAGACAGACCAGTGGGCAATGCAAAACGCCTCCATTTAACAAATTCGCTCGCTGCTTACCTAGAGAGTCATTTTTGGAGCAATACAAATAGCAGAGTGTGTGATAGAAAGAAAAAACTTTGGCATTAGAGGGACATGAATCTGAAACTCAGTTAAGTCACTTATTAGCGGTGTGTTTGGGCAGTTACTTATGCTCTCTACGCTGAAGATTCCCTATCTATAAAAAAGGAATAACAGCAGCAGCATCTAAAGGATAGGGTTGCTATGGAGAAGAAATGTGTGGAGGTGGGGATCTCAAGTCTGACCAAATTAATAAGAAGTTGATAATAACAATGGCATCCTGGCAGGGCCCTTGGAGTCGAGTCTGCCTCGAACCACAGCTGTAAGTGCTGAACAAAGACACTTATGATGAAGAGGGGGCTCCCACACCTCCCCCCATCATCTTCCTAGTGTGCCACATCGTGCCATTGCAGCTTCCACTAAGGACAGGCTGGGCATCAGTGCAAAGTCAAAGCCCTTTTCTGAGGAAAGTCTTGGGGCTCCAGCCACCACCTCTAGGTATAGAGGAGTCACCCTGCACCAGGGCACCAAGGTGAGTGACTTTGTTTCATTTTCATTAAAGTAGCAACATCACTACCTACACACCTGTGGTATGCTACCTTTAAAATGCCCTTCAGTGATTCTGAACTCCCAAGATTCATAGCCTTGTGCAATCCCCTCCCCTTGAGTTGGGCTAGCTCTAGTAACTCACTTCTAACAAATAGAGTATGGCAAAAGTGCTGGGCTATCATGTCTTCGATTAGGTTACAAAAAGATTTTAGCTTCTATTTCGGGTATTCTCTTGCTTGCTCTCTCTGATGGAGGTCAGATGCCCTGTTGTGAGCTGTGCTATGTGGAGGAACTGAGGGTGGTCTCCAGCCAAAGAGCAGCTGAGTCCTGAAGACATCCGTGTGAGTGAGCTTGAAGCAGAGCCTCCCCAGTGGAGTCTTCAGATGAGACTGCAGCCCCAACAACAACTTGATGGTAACTCTATGTGAGACCTTGAATCAGAGGCATCCAGCTAAGCTGCACCCAGTTTCCTGACCCTTAGAAACAGGGAAATTATGAATGTTATTGTTCTAAGCTGCTAAGTTTTGGGGTAATTTGTTACACAATAAGATAGATAAGTAGTTCAATATCTGTTGACATTGAATGACCTACATGGCTCAGCAATTCCGAACACCATTGTACCAAATGATGGAGTGGGCACAAAGCCCTCAGCCCACAGCACACCCTGGCAAAGAGCAGGTGTTATCATGTTATTGTCCAGCTCATGTCAAAAACCCTCTTGGAAACCCGTCTCACCCTGGATCACCAGAGAGCTGTAAACTTCAACTACATTATTTTGGCTTCCTATAGAAATGCATTCAACTTCATGTTAAACTTTTATCTCTTAAAAGGGGTTGAGATGAGAAGCAGCTATCATTTTGGAGAATATTTCTAAATTTTGGTAAAACTCCAACTTGAGACATTATCCTACACATTGCCCACTGGCCTTTGAAAAGACATTATGAATGATGATCCTTCTAATAACTAATTGGTAAGCCAAAGCTTCCCTGATACAGGCATGCTTCCTTTTATTACATAATAAGATTCATAACTAATTAGGATTTCCTTTTTTTAAAATTGCCTTGACTCCAGTAAAGCTCAGATTCAAGTTTTATGTGTATATGAAGTAGCTGTTCTTGACTTGAATTATTTTTTTATAACTCTCTTCTATCTCTTCTTATTCGGTACTTGTTTCTTAACCTTTTTATAAAATGAAAGAAACAAGAAAGGCATTTCTGCTGGAAACCAGTTCTAAGGCACATAAATTGCAAAATGGCCTAACTATTCACCAACAATGGTTAAAAATTCCAAAACATCCATCTGGTGGAACATTATGCAGCCATTAAGAATAACATAGAGCAATGGTTTTCCAAGTGTGGTCCCTAAACTCAGTGTCAGCACTGCCCAGGAACCTGCTCGAAAGGCAAAGTCTTAGGCCTCACTGCACACTCTGGGGGTGGAGCCCAGCAGCGTCTGTTTGAACAAGACTTCCAGTGACTCCAGTGTACCTGGAAGTTTGAGAACCACTGATCTAGAAGAATCTAAATAATATGGTAAGTGAAATGAAGGATTCAGGATGATATATTCAGCATAATCGCAACTATGTAAAATGTATTTGGATTAAAAAGATTGGAAGGAGGTATGTTATAATGTTTGCAAGGGTTATCTCTGAGCAATAGGCAACTTTAAAAATTGTCCCTTGGTACGTACATTCTTTTATAATCAACCCCCCATCCCAGATGCCATAGATGGATGATAGATAGATACATAGGTAGATAGATGACTGAGATGATAGATAGACAGACAGATAGATGACTGACCGATTGATTGACAGGGAGCTGGCAAGTTGGCAGAAACCATAGAGGATGGCTGTGCGGGGCAGGAAGGGCATGCTCTGCAGGTACTGGGCAGGCATGGGGCCGAGTAGGGACCACCTACCTTGGGCATGGGGTAGCCGCACACACGGGTGGAGGTCACGCACTGGCGCACTGCGCCCACGGTCACAACACTGCTCAGGCGCTGTACCTCGTGGAGGACAGCGCAGGTGTAGGGCAGTCGCTCTCGGTCTTCGTAGCAGACAGCGGAGGCAGCACCCAGCACCTCATCCAGCTCCTGCTGCACCCTCTCTGTGGGCAGTTCGGTGTGGGTCTGGGGAGGGCGCCTGAGGCCTAGCCTCCCCATCCCACCCCACCGCCCTCACCCCCACCCGGAGACTGCCCAGAGGCTTATGACACCTAGGTTACTCCACCCTGCCCTGGCTCCCCTGGTCCCACAGGAGCACGCCCTTCTCTGAGGCAGAGCTGGCTGCTTATGAATGAGATTTTGCAGGTTCTCTTTTCCAGGGCCTACTTGAGGGAGAGAAAAGGACCCAGGTTTGAGCACCCACTGTGTGCCAGGTGCTCTATATACAAAGAGCATTACGAGGTAGGAACTGTTGTTACCATTTTACAGATGAGGAAAACTGAGGCCCTAACTGGACAGATATTTTTGCCCAAGGTCAATAAAGTGTGGAGCCAGGATTTGAACTGAAGTCACAGCCCGTTTGTCTCTGAGAGAATTCCAGCCACCTTTTTCCCTCCGTGATTGTGACCTTGAGGTGGACATTAGCACAGAGCCTGGCACTTAGTAGGTGCTAAATCATTGCTGAATGAATAGAATAATGTTGCCTGCATTTACACTGGTTCTGAGAGGCAGAACGACTTGCTCAAGATCACACAGTAAGTAGCAGGGTGGGAACTGAAGCCCCTCCTGACTCAAAGCCGTGAACGCTTCTTGTACCACAGTGGTGAGAGAGCAGGACCCCGCCCTGGCACCACAGAGCAGGAGTGAGGGGTGACGGGCACGGGCAGTCAGCCGGGGTAGAACCAAGGGCCCCTCACCCTGGACGTCTCTGTGCTGCACCATGAGGATGAGTGCCCAGCGCAGGGTGGTGGCTGTGGTGTCGGTGCCTCCCAGAAACAGGTCGATCACCACCTGGATCAGGTTCTCCTCGTTGAAAGTCGATACTGGGTCGTCCATGGCCTGGCAGGTGGTGGGGGGAACAGCTCTGGGTCTAAAGTTCTCTCCTATCAGAACCCTGGTGTCTCTTTGGGGCCTGATCTGTTCCAAGACTCGTGGGACCAGAACTACTTGGACCTGAGTCCCAGAATTGCAATGACTTTTTTTTTTGGAGACAGGATCTGGCTGTGTCACCCAGGCTGGACTCAAACTCCTGGGCTCAAGTGATCTTCCTGCCTCATCTCCCAAGTAGCAGGGACTACACCGTGCCCAGTTTGCACTGACTTTTGATGGGGGACTGTCCCTGACTGTCCCAGAGCCTCTGCTTCCCACCCTACCCATGTTTGCAGAAGCCTTCCTTGGCCTGGGAAAAGGTAGGAAGGAAAGTCCTATTTTAACCCAAGCTTTCAGGGTGCTCTGAAAGCTTGTAGACCAAGACAAAGATGAGGAACCAAGACCATGGTGCAGGCTAGAAAGACAGCCCCCTCCGTTCCTCTGCAGATGCTCCAGGCCCACCTTGGTGATCTGGGCCAGGTAGCAGCTGATGAAGTCCTTGGGGGCCTCGGGTGCTCCGAGCTTGTGTCTCATGATCTCTTGGCGGATGAAGCCCTTCACAGCCTTTTGATGCCTGAACATCTCCTGGTGGGGTCCTGGGAGGTGGCGGAGGGGCCAGGGAAACATGTCGTACAGCTGTGGGGGGAGAAGCCCACCCAGGGGCTACTCAGGTGCCAGCCCCAGAGTCAGGCGGGCTCCAGAGTGGGCTGGGGCCTCTGACATGGGCAACCCAGGGCTGCCTCTCATCTGATGACCCACAAAATAATCTAGACAGAAATGAGAGCAATGGTAGCAGCAATTGTGTTCGGGGCTTAGCTAGGATGTTTCAGAGCCAGAAAGCTGCATTTCTGAGGACATAACCTGCTTCTTACTCCCTGCCCATTCGCACTGAACCACGCAAAGGAGGATTGATGCTGTGAACTTGTCAGCTTGCTGAACAGAAGCCATCTAAGGGACCCAGACTCAGTACCCACAGTCTCTCTCCTGCCAGGCCCTGGCTGAGGCTCCTGTCTGCCTTGGGCCTCCAGCTGCCCAGTGGCCTGCATACCGCCTCCCCAAATGCCAATTACCCGGCGCCACACGGTGCTGACAAAGGCCAGGCCAAAGTCGATGGCCTGAGTCAGTTCCTGGAAGATAGGATCCTCCGAGAGGAAGCGGTAGCCAAACACGAGGGCCCCAATGACTCTGGCCGTGGACCTGACAATGGATGCCTGAGGGTCGAAGGGTCTACCTGAGAGTAGAGGGGCAGGGCTCAGGCTGAGGAGGCACAAGGAGCACAGCCCAAGCTCTCATCCGACCTTGCATACAGCCGCTCATTTACTTCATTCATTCATTCATTCACTCTCATTCCTCATTCATGCACCCTACAAATGCTTACTGAGCACCCATGAGCCAGCTCTGTGACGGGTGCTAGGTTTGCAGAGAGAGGAGTGGGACGCAGACAACCTTGAAATGACAACAGAATGTAGGGCAGGTATGTCACAGGCGGGAACAAATCCCTAGCCATGCCTGGGATTCAGAGAGGACTTCTTAGGGCGGATGACCTCAGCCAGGTCTGAAAGAAGGCGCTGCCATTTCTCATGGGGAGAGAAGGGGCGTGGGCTAGGTAATTCAGAAGGGTCAGTAGCATGTGCAAAAGGCTGGAGGTTTGAAAGGCATTAGGTGTCATTGGAGAACCTTCCCCAGCTACAGAGAAGAAGGGCTCTGGCTTCCCAGTGACCTGGGCATTCCTGGGCCTCTGCCCACCCACCTCAGGGAAACTCCCACTGCACTGATGCAGCTCTAAACTGCTGCCAACGTTCCCAGGCGTCACGGACACACTCGTACACACACACCCCCCTGCATGTGCGGCAAGGCTCAGCCTCCTCTGCGTGTACACAGGGTGGGGGATCAGGGTGGGCCTTCCCTGGCCTGCCCCCCACCAGGTCTCACCCTGCTCCCGGCGGAAGGCTTCAGCCAGCTCTGCTGCCTCTTCCTGCAGCTGCACCTGCAGCGCCAGCTTACCCAGGCCCAGCTCCCGAAGCGTCACCAGGCAGAAGCGTCTCTGTTGCCGCCATGTGTGCCCGTTGCTGCAGATGACCCCTGGGTCGGGAGCGAGGCACACAGTCACCAGCCTCTCCCATCCTCCCAGGCCAAGACCACTAGGGTCTCACCCAGCCCAGAGGGCAGACCCCAGGGACCTTCCCAACCACCTCTGGGCCGGGGCTCTGACCAGTGAGTGAGGGGCGTTTGGAGGGTGGTTGGTGAGCCTGGTGCGCTCAAGTTGGGCTCAAGTACACCCTCTCCCGGTCCACCAACCTGATTTTGCCTTTAAGAGTCCCCAGGAGACAAGTAGGAGGGGATAAAGAAGGGGTGAGGAGGGAACAGGGACATTTGCTGAGCCTGGCACTGACACTGTACCGGGCACTCTCGGTATTTCAGCCGCTTGCTCTCCCCCACACCCTCGGGAGGAAAGAGCGGTCATTGTCCCCATATAACAGGTGAGAACACTGAGGACAGAGTGAGGCCGACTTGCCCAAGGTCACACAGGTGGCAAAGGGCTGCACTGAGATGTGGATCCGGGTATTTTGACCTGCAGAGCGGGTTCTTTGTCATACCCCTCCCCTGAAGGGTGTTTAGGAGGCCCGAGTCCTCTCGGGAGGCCTCCCTCTAACAGTTCCGGGACAGCCCGACTCCCTGAGCGCAGCGACCACCCAGCCACCTCCCCTCCCCACCAGGAAGGGCAGCCCTGCCTCTTTCTCCAAACAGGTCCCGGAAGAGCGGGCTGAGGGGCCTGCCCGAGAACTGCTCCGAGTTGGAGACCAGCGCTTCCTTCACCGCCTGGAAGCCGCTCAGCACCACGACAGGTGTGGGGCCCACCCACACGGTGAACACACGTCCGTGAGTCTGGGCCAGCTGCGGAGAGACCAGGCGACACTTACCTCGGGGCACCTTCTCAGAGCACCCCCAACACCAGGCAAGCTGAACCTGGCCCACAGGCTCCCCATGTGCTTGGAATGGTCAGGGCCCAGTTCCACACCCCATCAGCCCTGGGAGCTAGGCGTGTTCTACCCACTTTACAGATGATGTTAATGATGACTGCAGTTTCCTGAGGGCTAGCGTCCTGTGTAGGCTTTATAGTTGTCACTTGAGTCCCCCTCAGCATCAGTGTGCAGGTAGGGATCATCTCCATTTTATGGGTTAAAAAACATAGGCCAAGGCCGGGCGCGGTGGCTCACACCTATAATCCTAGCACTCTGGGAGGCTGAGGCGGGAGGATTGCTTGAGCTCAGGAGTTTGAGACCAGCCTGAGCAAGAGCAAGACCCCCTCTCTACTAAAAATAGAAAAAATTAGCCAGGTGTGGTTGTGCATGCCTGTAGTCCCAGCTACTCGGGAGGCTGAAGCAGAAGGATTGCTTGAGCCCAGGAGTTTGAGGTTGCTGTGAGCTAGGCTCACACCACGGCACTCTAGCCTGGGTGACAGAGTGAGGCTCTATCTCAAAAAAAAAAAAATAGGCCAAAAAGATAGTAAAGGACCAGGACTTCAAACCCAGGTGTCCCCACTCCGTGTAGTGTTCTTTCCAGTGTGTGAGGAGCCTGAGGATTATAATTATCTGCTCTCCTCAACCAGACATTTAAACAATATTTGTTCAGCACTGATCGAGAGCCAAGCCTTTCCAGGGAAAGGGTGGTGTGTCCTGCCCGGCTCTCAGCGGCGGTCAGCCCTGGCCCACTCAATGCAACAGACACCCTCCCCCTGGCACATCTGTCTACCCTGGCGGTGGCGACTACTTGAGTAATGTCACTTGAGTGTGCCTTTAGGGGTCCCATTCCCCAGCTCCCATCTCAAGCGGCATTTCAGAAAAGTCCTTCCAGCCAGAAACACAGTACTCTCCTGCAGTAGAGTTCTGTTCATGACAGCTTTCTCCATCGTGTTGCATTTGCAGTGGACTTCTACTGCCCTCAGAATCCTCTTAGGTAGACTTTGCACAAAGTCTACAATTTTTGCAACCCGCCTACAACCCTTCATTTGACAGATGAGGAAACTGAGGCTCACGGCCTCTGAACTAGTGAGTGGCAGGACCAGGATTCACCCCCACATGTGTCTGACCCCAGTTCCTTCCATCTCCAGTGTCTCTGGGCTGAGAGGGAGGAAGGGTTCATCTACTCACCCCTTTAGGGCTTCCAACTTGGGGACAGATCGCCTACCTGGAGCAGGGTCTCTGGGTGCAGCTGAAAGCTTAGTTGCCACAGGTTTCCAAGGATGGGGAAGGGGAATGGGCCAGGGGGAAGGTGGCTCCTTTCCCAGTAGAAGGTGCCAAGTTTCAGAAGCAGGAAGGAGACAGCCAATACAGCCAGCCCGCTGAGCAGGGAGAACATCTCCTTGGTCCTGTGTCTCCTGTCCTCCCCTTTGCTTCCTGGTCCTGAGGCTCCCCACACCCTCTGCCACCTTCCTCTCCCCACGGCCTGCTCCTGCTTTTTATGCTGGTGCTCTCAGCAGCGTCGTGGGGGGAGGCAAACCCCAGGAGTCTTTCTCCAAAGGAGAAAATCCATTTGGTCACACCAGTCACACCCGGGCCATGCTGCTCAGCAGGGCTGCAGGGCTCCAGCCTGGGACAGGTTGGGACACCTTCACTCCTACATCAGCATCGGCCTCACTTCCGGCCCATGGAGCTCATCCTGGTGAGGCTCCTCTCTCAGCCTCTGCCTGGGCAGCAGCTCAGGGAGGGACAGGGAAGCCACTAGCAGTGGCAGCGTCTCTCCTCAGGATATGCAGTCTGTTCCATCTCAGCATGCGCCAGACCCCACGTTTGTCAGTGGTCAAGTTCTGTAGCCTTTTCTTGTGTTTCAACTGTCTTGGAACCAGGCTGCTGGGGTCTAAATCCCGGCTCTGCCCAGTTGTGTGACCTTGAGCAAGTTATTTACCTCCCTTTGCCTCAGTTTCTTCATTTGTTCAAAAGAGATAGGAGATAATTGTGCCAACTTCCTCACAGGGCTGTTGCACCAGTGCCCAGCAGGACACAGATGCCGCATTCCAGTCGGGTATCCCCAGGCACGATCCCGGCCACGATGGGGAGCCATTTCCACTCGAGACTTCCAGAGTCCAAGGACATTGTTTAATGTGCACAGAGTTTCAGTTTGGGAAGATGTAAAGTTTTGGAGGTGGATGGTGGTGATGATTGCACAAAAATGTGAATGCGCTTAATGCCACCAAACTGCACACTTAATATGGTTAAAATGGCCAATTTTATAATTTTATGTTATGTATATTTTACTACAATTAAAAGAAAAGGTCAGGGAACAGATTGTTGGAGGCACCTGGAGCCATGGCTGGGTGGACAGAGTCGTTGACAAGCTCACACAGTCCCTCTACCCAGAGTGTCCTTCCCCCTGCGTCTCCACCTCTAGAAGTTCTGCCTGTCCTCAAGGGTCATCTCCAGTGGATGTGGGGACGATGTTCACCTCACAGGGCTGTTCGGTATCTCAGATAAGCTGAGACAATGCTACGTGACAGTGTCATGGATGATGTACTCTGCTTGGAAAGTGGTATTACTGCTGCAATTTCCACAAAACTGTTGCCTCCTGTTTTGGTAAGGTGCCTTCCTCTCTTCCTGTCCTGTTTCTCACTCCTCAAAGCATTGCTTTAGAGTTACAGGTCTCTGAAAGTCTCTAGCCAACTGCACCAATCTACCACCTCCAGACACCCAGCCATCTCCCACAGTGGCCGTGGCCTTGCTCGGGGCTGATTCCCTGGTCTGTCCACTCCACATGACGCCTGGGCTCCCCTTTTGATGAAAATGGGCGTGTTCAGGGTGGTGTGGCCCTAGACAAGGTCTCCCTTTCTTTGGGTTTCTCCAACAGTGTCAGCCATTGTTGACAGTCCTGAGTTGCCACTGAGTTATGGGACTCACTAATAGAAGGACCTGGTGGCCCTGAAATCCCAGTCCCACGTGCTCAATGTTCCTGCGAGCACACCAGCGAGACTGCTATGAGAGCTCCTCCACGCTGCTCCTGTCACGCACGACCAGACTCTTGT